ACAAACAATTTGATCTCATATTATATATGATATGCTTGCATATGGGTATGGAAAACCAATTTAGAGAGCAGATTTACAATGATCTGTTATTCATTTAAAGAAATCTACTCATGAATTTGTAAGAGAAAATAAGGGTAAGAAAATGTAGTACGAAGTGTGTACTCCTTAGGCTTACCTTCTTGATGATACGTTTGTGTTGATATTGGAAAAAGTGCTTTGACAGCAGACACAAATCCTTCCAGACATTCGCTCATCCTCAGGCCTAATGATACAGTCTGATCTATGACTCTTATTTTGGTAATACTTTTTTTCTTTAATTTTAAGATATTTGTGATCAAATCCTAGTTTTACTACCCTATACTTTAGCCTACTACTTCATTAAATGAAGGTTGCAAAACATGTTGAGCAAAGATTAACTATAATACTACTAATGTATCAAATATATATGTTGTAAGTAATTACTTTTTTCACTCTTGTATAATTACTATCATTATTTAATTTGCTTGTATAATTACTATCATTATTTAATTTGCTTTCAAAAATTTGTTTAATTTTATGTAAATAAAATATTCATTTGTTTAATTTTAATTGCTCTGAAATATTTTTAAAGATTAATTTTTTTAAAGTTATTATGAAAATCATTCATTATTTTTTTTAGCAAATTAATTACAATTGTTTAAAAAATTTATGTTAAAGAAAATAAAAATATATGTTATTAAAAATAATCAACAAAAATTGTACTTTTATAATCAACAAAAATAAAAAATTTTCAAAAAAATACCTTATATTAAGTATAATATATTCTATTAAACAACTAACAATTATCATATTTATTATTAATCATTACAAATTATAAAATATTATAAATAATAAAGTTTGACACATTAATGAATTATTAGTACACAAACAGATTAAAAATTAATGTTAATTATACATATTATATAAAATCATAAATTCATTTTTAAAATATTAAAATCTTATTCAGATTAAAAATGATTAATTTTTACAAAAAAAGTGCATATTAATTAATTATACTTGGCAAATATATTATTATTCTATATTAATTAATGTTATTATTGTTATGATTTATGTATTTTGCGTTTAATATTAGAATTGATTTAACTTGTATTATGTGTTCACTCAAATCACACATCACATCTCATTGCAACCAACACTTTTTATATAGAACCAATAAATACACTAACCTCTTCCTCTTGATGTGGATGGATGATTAGTAACTGGTGTAGTAGTTGATGTTGGTACCAAATTGTTATACGTTAAATCTTCTTTACTATCGTAACCACTGGATAGTGATAAATTGTAACTATTATGTCCTTGTGATATGGCTTGTGGATTTTGTGGTGTACGAGAACGAGTTCTTGATGCAACACAGTCAATAGCTGTTAAATTTAATTCAGGCAAACTTGTTCTTGCAACACTACGAGCTCTTGTACTATTTGCACTAATATTATAGCTTGATTGTTGAACTTTATGTTGTGGCTTCCAATTATTATCTATAATAAAGCATATTATCTATAATAAAGCAATATAGATGAAACTAGAAACACTTTTCAAAAAATATGACTTTTGAAATAAGAGCAATATTAAGATGATAAGAATTATATTCATATTGATTTAAGAAATATAATTATATTTCTTAAATAGGTATTTACCTAGATATGATTCTAAGCCACTGCCATGACTTTTAAATTCACTTTTTGTTCTAATTCCTGTTGAATCACTTGAATGTTTACAAGAAATATTATTAAAAACTTCAGATGATTGTGGATCACCAATAGTTTGTCTGCGTCTTTTTTCTTCTACTGTGACAGGAATAGAACCAGTGCTTTGTCGTTTTCTATAACCACTACTACCACTGCTAGAGCTCTTCCCTCTAACCTTAGAGGTGTCTGCTGAAGCACTGGCCGTCTCTACAGACCCCCCTGATGACGACTGATCTTGTTGATCTGCCATAGATTAATCGACTCATGCCACTATTCTGTCTGTAACAAAAGAGAAATAAATATTTATCATAACTGTTTAAATAAAGAAAAAACGTGTAGTGCTATTGATATTTTAAATTATATGTAATATTGAAGTTTTATATGTAATATTGAACTATAGTAATATTGAAATTTTAAACTATATGATCATTTCAAAGAAATTATTAAAACTTAAAGAAATTATAAAAGGGTCAAAATCCTTGGCACTATTATTCATTATATAATGACAATGCTATAGTTGATAAATGAAAGTTAAAATTGAAAATATCAAACAAAATAATAAATCAAAATTAAAAACGATTCTAATTTGAATATTTATACAATATCATGAAGTACAATGTAACAAATAATATAAGAATATATGGTTGAAATTATTCGCTTAAATTTATAAATATACAATTCAATTTTTTTTTATAAACATAGATTTTATAAATATTTTACCATGTTTAACTTTAATTATTAAAAACATATCGTTTATTTTTAAAATGAAAGATATTGACAAAACAAATAAATATGTTCATTATATAAAAGCATGTATGAATTTAAAAAAATAATCATATTATGTTAAAATACAATAAAGAAATGTATATATCTACTTACAAATAATGCATTAAAAGCAAAAAAAAGTATATAATATGTACATATAGATGTGTATGTGTGAGAGAGATGTGTGTACATACTATGTACATGTGTGTGTGTATATATATATATATACATATAAAATTGTAACACAGTAGATTAAACAGAAATCACTTATTACGATAAATCAATGGGCACTGAGATAAGAGGAGCGTAACTAAATAATACAGCAAAAGCAATGCGCAATTAATATTTTCTTCCACAGTGAAAGAGATAGTAACAAACCCAAGTATCATAATAAACACTACAACTGGTGCACGTTTGTAATATCATGCACAATGCAAAATTGTGCCATTGACATCATAGAATCTCTTCTAAGAATACTACAATTACATAGTTGCAACGAAGCCACGAACAGATTTAATATAACTGTAAGGATCCCGTGAAGAACGTAAATAATTACAACAAAGACTGAGCGAGCAAGCCACCATTTGCTTGCGAACAAGTAATGGAGGACGAGTTCTTTCTTCGTCTCTTTCTCTCTTTCGTTTCACCACTCTCGTTACCGTGTGACCTCAGGTTTAGGTCCTCGAAAAAGAGAACCCTACTTGGGTATGCAGGTCCTCGACAAAGAGGAGAAAAAGAAGGAGGGGGGAGAGGAGAGAAATAATTCCCAATTTGCAAATAGGAATTACCTGAATGTCGGAAAAACATGCCCAGGGCATTGCGAGGAAAATGTCTTCACGTCGATGATTTTTATGAACGCGAACGTTTCTCGTTACATACGACAGGGAAATGAATTCTCGCGCAAGCACGTAAGTACGTTGGCGAGTGGCTATGTGCATAGGCACACACCAAAAAACGCACCAAACGCACTGCCGAGGCACACTGAAGCAACTCAGCGGAATGCGACGGCTATCGGGATCGGGTTGGTTAGAATAGGGAAGCTGGAGGACGCTCCGCCCCCATCAGGAAACGTCACACACGGAATCAACGTAAGTGCGTTCGAAAACACGGTGTCCGCGTGGAGTAAAATCGCAATTCATAACGGAACAGCAGATGTAAAACCGGCGCGAATAGCCATCTTGCTACGATTTTTTTAAAATGCCAACTTTTACTTTCTCCTCATCTGTAGCGTCAAATTAATCGCAAACAATTGACCAGATGTCAATAAGAAATTTTCAAATGTATAATTAGCTATTCTCTGGTTAAAATACTCATGCGTGCTGCATATATGTATACGTACACGTATTATTTATATACGCACACTGTAATTATATTGTACATACATGTTACAATACATACATGTGTCACACGTGTACGTGCATGTATGTATGCTAACTCAATACGTGCTGTAACATTGTGCGCTGTTGCGACATAAAGTAATTTTCCTTTTTATACGTTTCTCGAACAAACACGATCGATTCAGATTTATTCACATACAAGCATGAAAGATTACTAAGAAATGGCTCGACGATTGAGTAAATATTTCTGTCAATGGATGACATATGACATATCAAACGTTAAACACTGCTCAAACTCAAAATACGATTAGTTTATCACAAATAGATACGTTACGCACAGGGAATTGTAAAGCAATAATAGAACTGTCAGGCCGTCTCACTTTTTAAATCTTCCGAGAAAACACGTAAACTTCACAATTGCGATGTCGTAACAAATTCTAGTTTTGCTGTTTGATCGCGACAAGTATGTACACATCATTATGATTGGTTGAAAACCTGATTCAGTAGTATCCAATTGGCCAATAAGTTGAAATATTTCTCAAGTTACATCGTGATCAATTCGTTATAAACGAATATATTAACAAATAAACAGAACAAATGTTTGACAGAACCGTTACGGATGTTGCAATTATTAAATGTTCTTTGATCTTGTCGATTTTATTTGAAATAACTACTTACCGAAAAAGGGAGCTCCTCCCTGGAAGTCGAACTCCAGTTACGCAATGCGATGTACAAGAGGACACGTGAAAATCCAGACTGTGCTGTCAAGTCGATTAGAACGTCGTCTGCTACGATATCTCGACCGCGGATTATACGCGATGCAGGTTGTATGGTTGATTCAACTGAAGCACGTGTCTCTTTATGTAGCTATACTGTAACGTTTCCCAAACGGTGATTGGTTAATATATATTATTCAATTTTTATTAACCAATCAATGACGAAAATAATATTACAGCCTTATTTCGCAAAGAAAATAAGTTAGAAAATATATCAATCAAAAATATAAACATTAATGAAAGCTATGATTAATTTAATTATTGCGATTGAACATTCGTCCGGAAACATATTCAATGAAGTTATTAAATGATTTGAAGGTTAATTCGACGACCGTAATTATTGTGCTACTTTTTACGAAAAAGTAAACAACTTTTTGTGTTTCTAAAAAATAGGTACATTTCTATTGTTAATGTATTTTTAATTGACTAGAGAAAGATTTGTTATAATTTTTTAATTGACATAATATAATTCTTTTTTAAAGAAATCTTATTTATTTATAACAGTGATAACTAATAATGCATTTTCTTTCTTTCATGGACAGTCCGGTAATTATTTCTCATCAATACTATACAAGAGTTGTTTCAATGATTCTTCATTAATGGTTTGCAAATTATTTGCATTATTATCTGCATTGCTGTAGCTTTGTTCTATATCTGTATTAAATATATTCATTTCCATGTCATGTGTTGTAGTTTTAAAAGTATCAAAAGATTTTGATATATCCTCTTTCTGTATAGGAGACGATACTCGTAAATGTTTCATTTCAGCAGTGGGTGATCCATTTTCAAGTGGAGACATTACCATTGAAAAAAAATCATTTGTATCTTCTTGAAATGATTTTTCATTTTTTGACTGTATTGCTTTGTAATTTTCAAAAGGTTTCTTAAACATAGAACCATTAGGAATGTCTGATTTCCATATACCTCCTAGTTTTTCGTTTTCATTATTCGTCACTGCACATTCCTCTAATTTTTGTTTTTTATTTGTAGCTTTTATTTTTTCAATATTAGATTCTTTTGTCAAAAGTTGTTGACCTTGAGTATTTATTACTAACACATATTTGTTTTCTTCATTATGTACCATATCCAACATTAATTGATTTTCTTTTTGTGTTTTACATATATCATCTCTTATATCTGGTAAATTTACTGATGTTTGATCCATGATATTTGTTTGTTGTACATTTCCTGTTAGTTGTGTTGGACATTTATGAGTTCTTTGACTCACCTATAATAATAGATGATTAGTAAAGTCATAATAGATGATTAGTAAAGTCATATCCTTTTTTTAATTATACTATACCTTATATCTGAAACTTTTTCCACATGTTGTACACTTATAAGGCATCACACCTGTATGTATTCTACGATGAACTAAGTATGAAACACGTTGACGAAAACATTTTCCTAAAAGAACCATTTATTTTTATTTATTTTTTCATAATGAAAAACAATCAATAATTATAAAGTTCTCCAGATATATGCTGTGTAAATATAATTATTATTTGTGATAATTAGATATTATTTCCAAATATAAGCTTTATTTACATATAATAATAAACTACATACATTGCAGAAAGTACAATCCATATTAAATTGTTAGTAATAACTGAAAACAAAACATGCATTATTCTAAGGTATTTGCAAATTATTCTTGAAAAAAATCCTTATAAAAATTAACATACCACAAGTTTCACATGCAAAAGGTTTTTCTCCTGTGTGAATTCGTTCATGATTATGCAAAGTAGATAATTCTTTAAATGATCTGCCACAAGTTGTACATGTATATGGTTTATCATCTTTATGGTATAATCTATGTTTATGATATGATTGTTGAAAAGTAAATGTTTTGTTACATATGTTGCATTTATAAGGCATTTCTCCTGAATGTAATCTTTTATGCTTTTTTAGAAAATATTTTGTTGTAAACATTTTACTGCATACATCACATTCCCATTGTTTAGCTTCATGTGTTTTTAAATGCTGCATTACATGTTGTTCCTAAAATAGTAAATTTATTTTACTTTTTTATAAAAAGGTATTCAAGGAAATTTATTTATTACCTTTTTAAATTTTTTTCCACATGTGGGGCAGTTAAATTTATTTTCATTAAGTATGAGTTCTATTTGTCCATCTTTGACTAAAGGACCTGAAAATATGTATATATGTATTAATACCTATTAAATGATACATAGATACTAATATACTTTCAATGTTGTAAGAAATTACCTAAATTATATCCCATATGTGCTACTCGCATATGCACCATTAAACTACCTCTCATTTTAAACACTTTAGAACATAAGTGACATGAATAATTCTTAAGTAAATTTTCAGGAATAATATTTAAATCTTTTTCATTGATCATATGTACTAATTGTTTATGTAAAAGCAAAATATTATGATCAGGAAAATGAAAACCACATATGTTGCATCGTTCAGTCTTTTGTCTTGATGATAATGTTTTTATAAATTTGAATTGAGGTAATATTTCATTATGTTTAAAACTTTGATTTTGACTTTTATTACATGTAGCAGATGAATCTTCTTGTACGGTTTTATCATTGGCTTTTTCTAATGGTATATTAATACAAGTAGTTGCAATGTTTGGCAATTTATTTATTATCATTTGTTCATTGTTATAAGGTTTATTGCTATCTACAGATGTTTCCACTTTTTCTATCACATTACAATTTAGTTGTTCAGAATATTGATCCTGCATCCAGTTTTTAAATGTCTGAACATTTTCATATTCTATTTCAGGATAATTTTGTATAAAATTTATATGTCTAACATTTTGATGAGCAAAGTACTGTGTAGCATAATTTACTTTTATTGTTTCTTGTAATATTTGTTGAGGGAGTTTTTCTGATTCTGTTTCTTTACTCTTTTGAAATGTATGTATCTCTTTATTTTCACAAATTGAATTTTGTGGAAATGTAATTTGAGATACATGATTTAATGGATTTTGATCATGGATAGAAACTTCTGAATTCAAAACTGAAGCTTCATCTTTCGTATTTTGCAAATTTTGAGAAGAAATTAAACTATTTTGAATATTTAAATTATTTTGTGAAAATTTACTTGAATCTGTATTTTGTATTTTAGATAAATTCCAATCTTGGAAAGTAATATTTTCTAAATTATTTAATGCTGGATTATGAGTACTGGTAGTAATATTTGTATGTTTGAATGTCTCTGTCGTATTACTATTGCTTAAATTAATAGTATGGCTGAATAAATGAATAGTAAGTTTGTCAATACCAAGCAATACTTCATTACACACAGGACATGTAAGAGGTCGTGTTGCAACGCTTATTAATCCTGCTCGCAAAGCATCCAATGTTAAAAAACTTGGTTGTGAGCACAAAGGACATGCTAAAAGTCTTGCACACATGTTTCTTACCAATCTTTATTTATATTGATTTTTATTTAAAATAGAATTTATTATAGAAAATTCCACATTTTTTTCTCGTTACATATTATAATTATTATCATTATTAATAATATAGGACAATAATATAAATAAAATATAATCTTTTCATTTTTTTTGTATCAATAAAAATTAGCTTTTGTAAAGACTTAACACTGCCTCTAAAATATAGAGTGTTTAAGATACAAATTTAAAATAGCTGATTAATTTAAATTTAACATTGTCATTTGAAATATTATTGGGGTTATGCCTGAACTTGACCCAATAGCATAAATTAAAGATCAAAATCATACCTCATGTACCAATAACTATAGAGAATAAATCAAAATTTTTCTTTTTTAAGATGCATAAAGTAGAACAAAGTTTTATATCTAATAATTTAATTATAGAATGAGGATTTCAGATATTTATCTGGGATTCCTTTGACTCTTTGTGGAGTATGTATGATGTTCTTGAAGTTATATTTAGACAAGAAGCGGGATATTTAAGAAGAAAATATGGTAGAATCAAATACAGTTTTATTAAATTAAAAATGTATAAAGTTTATAAATTAAAAACGTAATAAAAGATTCATTTTAATATACTGGACATTTGTATGATGTACCACCCTTACAACAATATTCTCTTCCAGCAGAAAGATTTGTATTAATCCAGCCACTTTTACAATTCTTGATAAATAAGTAAGCCTAGAGCATAAAAAAATTATACAATATAACTTATATATAACATTGTTCAATAATCTAATTTGACAATATAATAAAACTCACCTTTTCCTTATGACAGTCATGTTTTATTGAACTACATAGTATTTTAGAACTATTTGGCAAATATTTAATAATCTACAAAAAATATTTAATATTTTTTGTTATTTAAAGCAAGAAATTAACTGTAATATTATGTGTATGATAAAAAATTTGTGTTGTTATAGATTAACTTACAATGTCCAAGCATTTATTTGTACAGAGTCTATTTCCACTTGGAGTACATGGAAATGTTCCAGGCAAATCATGAAAAATAGCAGGATTTCCTTTAGGTAGTCCTTTGCTGCCTTTCTCAAACTGTCCACTTAAAAAAATTCCACAAACACAACCAATTGAAGATTCAGTAGTTGAAGTTGTAAGAGTATCATTTAAAGATTTTATTTTAGTTTTATTATGCATAGTTGCTGATGCAGATAAGAAATAGAGAATTGACAGTAGAAATATTGAATTCATTTTATCTGTAAAAAAATATTTTGTATTTATGTAAAATTTCTTTTAATTAATAATTACAAATAAAGAAAAGCTATATATGCATTAGAAATATATAAAATCTGTAATATTGTAAAGAATTAATAAAATATCCAAATGATACTTACAGTAATTAAATTATATGCATCACCTGCATGAAGTAATGAAAACCAATAAGACCAATAACTTGCAAGTTTTGCTGAAGGTATCTTGTTCTGTGAAGTCAGCAATTAAAATGGGTCATATACTTAATAAGCAATATTTCCTAATGCCATAATAATCATATTATTGTACGTATAAAGAAATTTGTTTTATTATTTTATATAATTTATATTATTTTAATATAATTTTAAAGTACAAATAAATACATGTAACAATAATTTGTATTATGCTTTGACATTTAATGATCGTTTGATAAATGATGCATTTCCTTTTAAAACTATTTTCTTTTCATTTGCAATACAAACATATTCACATTTCATAATTTTCCTTGCAGAAATAATTTGTACTTTTATTTCTATTGTATCTCCAGCATAACATGGTGCTGGAAATGTGAAGTTTTGTCCAATTACCACAGTCCCTGGACCTGGCATTTTTGTACCAATTACTCCTGATACTAAACCATTAAGTAGAGCACCATGAACAAGATTATTTGATGTCTCAAAATGTATTGGATTAAAATCACCAGTTAATTTAGCAAAATTTAATATATCATCTTTTGTAATTTTTTTAAAAATAGATATTTCATCTCCAACTTTCGGAGGTTCAGTGCAATATTTTTGCACATATGTTTTTAACATTTTAAAAAATGGTTTTGAGTACTTCATTTTACTTCTGAAGTTATGGTGTATTATTCTTTAACTATTTCATCAATATATATTTTTATCAAATATATTATTTATATAATATATATTGTACGAAAATATTTTTTATGTGTTATATAGAATTTTCAATCTTATTCTTTACATCAGTGCAGTCATTTAGAAATATCGTTATCAAGTTTTTAATACGATTATTTTTACAATTTGATAAATCAGATATTTTTTCAATTAATTCAGCTGTTATTTCATTCTTAGATTCAGGAGTAAGCAAAAATATTAAACTAGTAATTGCTGATAATATTATATCCTCATCTTGTGAAGAAAATAGTAATGTTAATAGGTGGATGCCTTGGTTGCGTAAAATATATAATTTATTTATCGGATCTAAAACACAATCCTCATATTAAATAATGATTATGAACAAACATATATTTAAAATATAAATCTTAAAATATCAAATACTTACCAGCACATAGATTACATATAGCTGCTGTCGCAAAACGTACTAATTTTAAATTGTTCTCTGACAAAGTGTGAAGAAATAAATCAATTATTTGTAGCTGTCTTATGTATCCATAATTGATAGGATCATAAGCAAAATTAGCAAGATTTGCTAAAACTTGTTCCCTCGCTTCTAAATAAATAATATATTTTATTAATCTCAATTATATAAACAATATATTTGTATCTTTTTTGTATATGATTTTACCTTTGGATTTTGTAGTTTGAAATTCTGTAGCTAAAAGTTTTAAGAAATCATAACGACCGACAGGATTTTTGCCAGTACGTTTTATTAATTGCTTCTTGCTACTAAACATGAGGGAACAATTTTCATCCACGTTATTTAACAAAATTTGTCATTTATAGCATTTAATTCCACTAGTTTATTTAAGATTTTTTAGTTGTACGGTAAAAAAAATAATTTATAATTCTTTATATACCGATTTCACTTTCTCAAATTTTTATTTTATTCCTAATGTCTCGATTGACACTCTTTTGGCAATTACCACTATTTTCTACTACTTCTTGTACGTTTGTAACGAAAACAGGAAATATTAATTTCTCAGTGTGACTATAGGAAATAGTCATTAAGTAATGCGATTATCCGGATATGATGTTTTAAGATAAGTGTCAGTAGTATACGTGTCAGTATCTGTATTTAGATAGTTGAAAGCCGGATGTTATATTGCTGTAAAATTAATTCTATTGGTAGAAGAATTATTTCTAATTTTATGTATCAATGAAACCATTCGACAATTTGATGTTCATATCGAACGTGGTGTACATTTAAACGCATATTCGAACATACCATTCTTGTATTCGTATTTCTATGAAAGAAAGATAAAGAACATCATTGTGAAGTCATGGTTAACACGTAGCCGGTGTTCAAGGTGTCTTAAACTCCTAGCCTAAGCATAGTGGTTTGGTAATTTGTTGCTGGCTGCTTGATTTGCAACGTGTTGAATAGAAACAGTTGTTAATATGTTCATGGCAGATATTTGTTAAAATTTAACGGGGATATTTTCTATTCGCAAATCGAAAAAAAAAAGAAAAGAAAAATATGTTGCCAAATAAAACATCCGTTATAAATACTAGAAAAGATATGTTCCCCGATAAGAAATCGACATCTAAGCAAATGAAAACTTCTACGTTGACAAACGCTGCTGGCCTTAATTCTCTTATTACTTTTACTGTTTTGCTACTTGCTTGGATCTCAGGATTTGCTTCTCGTTTATTTGCAGTGATACGTTTTGAAAGTATCATACATGAATTCGATCCTTGGTACGTATTTTTACGTGATTATGTTAGAATGCTTGTATTTTATATGATAAAATTTAATTTAGTTCAGAGATTTTTTATTTAACATTTATTTATGATTTTGTAACTTAAAGAACAGTTTAATTGACGAAGTAAATTAGTTACATTTTACATATATGTGTGTATGTGTATAAACTTATTATTATAAAATAAAATATTCATCTATAATATAGGTTTAACTACAGAGCTACGGCATATATGGTGCAACATGGATTCTATAATTTTTTGAATTGGTTTGATGAAAGAGCATGGTACCCATTGGGTCGTATTGTAGGTGGAACTGTTTATCCTGGATTAATGATAACATCTGGATCTATACATTATATATTACATTCTTTGAATATCCCAGTGCATATAAGAGATATTTGCGTATTCTTAGCTCCAATATTTAGTGGCCTTACAGCCATTTCTACGTACTTATTAACAAAAGAAATATGGAGTGCAGGAGCTGGTTTATTTGCAGCATGTTTTATTGCAATTGTACCTGGTTACATCTCAAGATCTGTAGCAGGAAGTTATGACAATGAAGGCATTGCCATTTTTGCACTGCAAATTACATATTATCTTTGGGTTAAGTCAGTTAAAACTGGCTCTATTTTTTGGGCTTCTATGACTGCTCTCTCCTACTTCTATATGGTATCTGCATGGGGTGGTTATGTTTTTATTATTAATTTAATTCCACTTCATGTTTTTGCATTACTGATTATGAATCGATTCAGTAATCGTCTATTTACAAGTTACACTACATTCTATATTCTGGGACTTTTATTGAGTATGCAAATACCATTTGTTGGTTTTCAACCAATAAGAACATCAGAACATATGGCAGCTGGAGGTGTGTTTGGATTATTAATTTTTGTAGCAACTCTCAGGTATGTTTGTATAATGTTAATTGTATTAAATTTTTTAGTGCAATATAATTTTGTTATTGTAGACATCTAAGAACTGTACTTACAAAATCTGAAATGAAATACTTTGGAGGAGTGGTTGCAGTTGTAGCTGCTATTCTTTTGTTGATTCTAATTTGTTTAACCTATGCTGGTATTGTTGCACCTTGGAGTGGAAGATTTTATTCACTCTGGGATACTGGTTATGCAAAAATACACATTCCAATAATAGCATCTGTTTCTGAACATCAACCTACAACATGGTTTAGCTTTTTCTTTGATTTACATATTCTTGTTACAACATTTCCTGTGGGCCTGTGGTACTGTATTAAACGTATTAATGATGAACGTGTCTTTGGTAAGATCTCATGATGAAATCTTTTATTGATTTTTTACACAATATTAATCATAATTTTTTTACAGTTATATTATATGCTATAAGTGCTGTTTATTTCGCTGGGGTGATGGTGAGGCTTATGCTCACTTTAACTCCAGTTGTTTGTATGCTTGCTGGAATAGCATTTAGTGATCTTCTTGAATTATTTTTTAAAGAGGAAGACAGTGAAAGGGATCGGAGTAACAATGGAAGTGAAGAAGAAAGTGAAGAAGAAAGAGAAAGAAGTCCTGGTAGAGCACTTTATGATAAAGCTGGTAAACTTCGTAGAATGAGACATGAGAGACCTAGGGGTAATGGTGATGGATTAGGTGTTAATCTTCGAAATGGTGTTGTCATTGGTGCATTTGTGTTAATGATGATGTTTACATTGCATTGTACTTGGATTACAAGTAATGCATATTCTAGCCCTTCAATTGTTTTGGCATCATATAGTAATGACGGTGGTAGAGCGATTCTCGATGATTTTAGAGAAGCTTATTATTGGCTAGCACAAAATACACCTATTGATGCTAGAATTATGAGTTGGTGGGATTATGGTTACCAAATTGCTGGAATGGCTAATAGGTATATATCATTAAAAAATAAAATCTATTTAAATCTTTTTCTAAAATAAAACAATATGAAGCATTCTTCGTTTTAATATAGAACTACGCTTGTGGACAATAACACTTGGAATAATTCGCATATAGCTCTAGTTGGAAAAGCAATGAGCTCAAATGAAAGTGCTGCTTATGAAATTATGACATCGTTAGATGTAGATTATGTATTAGTTATTTTTGGAGGAATGATTGGATATTCCGGAGATGATGTTAATAAGTTCCTTTGGATGGTACGAATTGCAGAAGGCGAACATCCACAAGACATTCGTGAAAGTGATTATTTTACCGAAAGAGGAGAATTTCGTGTGGATTCAGAAGGTTCACCTACTCTTTTGAATTCATTAATGTATAAATTAAGCTATTATCGATTTGGAGAAGTAAAAATCGATTATCGATCGCCATCTGGTTATGATCGTACGCGTAATGCTGAAATAGGGAATAAAAATTTTCAATTAACATATTTGGAAGAAGCCTACACAACTGAACATTGGCTTGTTAGAATTTACAGGTAATTCTAACAATAATATATGATTATAAAAACTGATTTTTAACATTTTTTAAATAATTTTTATATTTATAAATTACGAATATTTTTATTGAAATATAATTTTAGGGTGAAAAAACCAAATGAATTTAATAGACCAAGCATTCCAATATCCAAACGAATTGTTGCACGAAATGCTAATTCATATGTTAGTAAAAAGGTGAGAATTCTTATGATAAACAGTTAGAGCATTTATTTTATTTTGAATTTTTAATCGTATCGTTTCTCCGTTTTTAAATTATAACATTGTGTAATTTTGAAATGTAGTTGAAATTGTGGGGTGGGGGACATTAATGTTACAGACACCACGTCGCAAGAAAGGTTACATAAAAGGCCGGCCAACTATTATTAAAGGACAAAAACCTCAACGAAAACCTACGTAACATACATTTATTATCTAATTCATAATTTTCAAATACAACTTTTATAATAAGAAAAAAGAATTACCGTCCCTTGGGTCTACCACAAACTATACCTCAAATTAAAACTTTAGTATCATTAAAACTCGAATCAATTAAAACATATAATAAAAGAAATTTTCAACATTAAAAGCAATTGGAGCAATTTTTTAATAAGAATGATGTTAAAAAAGTCATATTTTTAATTTTACTTATACTACATAAAGTTAATTATACATATATGACTGCTTTACATATCAATTAAGTAAAGTATGATTTTTATGGTTGCAATATATGATTCCTATAATTGAATTCATGTTACGTATGAAGTGTGAAGATAGTATCTTGATGCATTTAAAATTTTTTTGTACTTAAGTAATCTTTAACGTTTTGCTCACTTCATTTGTCTTTATGCATATTATATTCAAATTGCAAAGAAGTGAATTTTAAATTATAACGTGGAAAACATGATAAAAAAGTTAATGTAAACTTTTTTTATATCTGTGTAATGCACACTAAACATCAATAAGAAAAATTCACTAGTCAAAATAATTGAAAACATTTATTATAAATATCAAACAGGTGAGATCGGAGGGATTAAATATATGTTATGTATACACAGTTTATTGTATACTATTCTTGTTGAACATTTATAAGAATGAACTTGTCATTTAAAATCATTGTATATTTAATATTTGATTTATTTTTTTTTTTGTACAGAATTTATAAATATAATAGAAAAAGATTGAATCTTATGCAATTAAAATATGTTTCTAAGTATATTATTTTATTTTGTAATTTTTTTGTCATTCATTGTTCATATTTTACATTCAAGTTTAAAATTTATATTTTTGTGATCTATGTGATCATTCTTTTTATCGTAAAACATACTGTTTGTTTATAATATGTACATAATCTAATCACTATTTTTAGTAGTTGTATGTATTTGAAAAATCACAAAATTATAATTAAAGCAATGTTAAGTACGCAAAATAGTTGTGTACATGATCATTGTGTATATTTGATTATAAAGATAACAAAAAAGGAAAAAAAATATAAATGAAACAAGGTTGTAATACAGATTACTGAGAATATTATTTTACTTCTTATACAAAATTCAAGAGTTTAATGCAATCAGAGTAATGCCCACTGTTAAAACTTCTTCTACAATAACAAAAGAATTAAATATTGTGTATACTAATGGATATTTAGTATATACAAAAAAAAACATCCATTTGTACAATTTACATACTTATTTTTTGTTTAATAAAATAAAATATTAATATATTTGAGATCGCTTTTTTTTAAGGTTAATAGAATATTAATAATATATAAATAAGCAATTACTTATTACAATCGAAAAGGACGAATTAAATCAACAGGTGGTCCTCTACAATGTATTAATAGGTTATAATCTTAAATGTCAAAATCAGCTGATCATTGGTAACAATTTTTTTCAAGATTATTGGATTTACGAATTTCAATTGTCTTTTGTAATTATCTATTACAACAAATAAAAAATGTAGTTATCTATTAACTCAAGATTCATTTTTTGTACAATTTTATATTTGATGTTTGTATAGTTTATTTTATATTCACTATTTTTTACATGTAAATAATATTTGTGATATTAATTTTCCATATCTATAATTATGTATATGTTATTTTAGACTATGTTACTTGTACTTGGAAAAATTGTGGACTGTTATTATTTATTAGTTATTAAAGAATAATACTTTGACGTGCTTTAGATTTCACAAGAAGATATTTTTTTTTATGTTATACGTTTTCTTTTATGATTATTGTAAAAATCTAAAGTTTATTTAAAGTCAACTTTTTAAATATTTTTTAATATATTATAATTAGTATAATTTTGTCAATTACATAATTTACTTTTCCAATATCAGAAAGCTTTTAAAAAATAATGTTATCAAATAACATGTGATATTTTAAAATATTAACAAAAACCTATACATTTATAGAAATCAACAGTACAAATATAATGTAACATTAAACAAATCAGATCATGTAATGTATATTTCATAATTGAGAAGTGAAATATCATCGTACATGTTTTATTTGTACTATTCTTTGTACTATTCTTGCAAAAAAAAAGGAATGAAATAAATTAAATCTATTACATACATAAAGGAATTAAAAGGTTATGTTAAAATGAATAACGAAGTACAATCTAAACATTTCTAACAGAGATAGTCGAAATCATGTACAAATATGTTCCCATAAATTATCATATGAAATTAGTTAACACTCAAACTAGATGTAAAATGTTTGTATACCGAATTCATAATGATAATACAGTGAATTAAAAGATTTTTCGCATCAGAAGCTGTTCGTGTGTGCAGTGTCCGCCATTTTGCTTTCTATACATCTGACATGTCTTTCTAATGTTATTATCGATGAATGCTGAAATTTGTGCGTGAATCTTCAATCTCGTTGGAGTGTATTTTGTACGAAAAAGGTTGGATTGCCTCTGATTGGGCAACAACCTCCATTACTATTGGGACTAATTTCCATTGTCCCAACCTTGGTTAAACTAAACGAAACGAGTCCATAAAGAGAATTTCGCGATAGTATTTGTGAATAGTTTACTTTTGTTATAGGGTATAAATATACTACAAGATTCATCTTATGAGATTTTCTGACTGTATTATTGAAACTTGATTACAATATTTTGCACAATGTCCTGTTGTCTATATAAAGAGTGAACATAACCAAACTGTGTTGATATTCAACATCATATACTCATGTCAACAATAGAGATAAAATGATTATTAATATGGCTTTGAATTGTCAAAGTTTATTAGAACTTTTAGAATCCACATTCAATGTTTTGCTGTTTTGTGTAATGAAATTATTTGAAAATGTATAGAGTATATTCAATGTGAATTGCTATGCGAGGCAAGGATTGTTTTTATCCTGATCTAGCCATGGACTAAGTTTACGCTTATTGCTTGAACCAGGAAAGTTTAATAATCATCTGATATACATTATGTGTAAGAATATGCGAATTTAAACATATATAGTGATATATAGCTTTAATTGATCTAGACATTATTAATTCCTAAAGTATTATTTGCACTTTTAAAACATAGAATACATTTTATTGTCATTTAACTATATAAGATTTTTTGTAAAATTTCACTACAAAATCTGATACTAAATAGTAGTTAATCAATTTTAATATTTCTATTAAATCATAGCCCATGACAAAATTAAGTTTTGTAGATATGCAAATACATGTAAATAAGATAGTTGGGTGCACATCATTAGTATATGCAACATTATTAGTATATGTAGTGCATATGACTATTTTATAAGTTATTATACTTTGTACAAAAATTCATTTTATTAACTGTATTACCTTGATGCATATGTAAACATTAATGTGTCCGAAACAAATACAAAAACAACCAAACTGTGATACAATACAATAAAAATAACTTTTTATTTTTTTATTCTCAGTATTATGAATTCAGAAATATTTATGTATGGACTTGGATCTAGGCACATGGCGTAAACTAAGTTTTATCTAGATAAGAAGAAAGTTGATTTGGAAAGTTTGAGAATGCAGGTGAAACAGAATACGAAGAAAGCGGTAATCAATGAAGGTCCCTATATCCGAAAACTCAAACATGGACAATAAATTGAAGTTTTCGGATCGTTTGAAGGCTTTGCTGAAAACTGAGGCTCATCAAGATGTTGATCCATATATTTTCAGTGAACCAGAGCCATTTGGTACAGCAACAGGAAGAAATGTTACAGTAGTGTCATCCAAAAATTCTAAAGTAATGCAAAATTGTAAAAATAGTAAGACTAAAGAAAAATGTATGAAACAAAGAATAAGGATAACATCCATACCAGATACGGAATTCAAAGCTGTACAAGACCGTGCTGTAGAATTAGATGCTGATTGTAGTGTTGGTGGTGGTGGCAGTGGTGGTGGTGATGGTGAACATATAGATTATAAATTTGCAAAAGCAATCGAACAAAAACATCGTCATATTGAGAATTTACAAAGACTAAAAAATAGAAGGCAAAGTCGGGACCATACACTGTTGTATTATCCTAGAGCTGGAGATGAAATATCAGATAGTGATTCTAGTGGAGATGAAATGACAATTTACCAACGTTATTGGTTTTCTGGAGAAAATACTTCGACATTGAATCGTTCTGCACGTCTTTCTCAATTACGTTCTCAATTGAGAAGAAGACTACTTCAGTTACACAAAGGTGGGACAGATTCAGAAATTTTGTTACGTGATAGGGCTAAGTGTTTGTTAGAAGCTGCTTGCAAGGATCCTGCATCTACAGCGAAAGCTTTAAGTGGTTCTCCAAGTACAAGTAAAGTGGTAGAGGGACCACTTTTAGTTGGTGGACTTTGTGGAGCTGATGGATGCCAACAGACATCTCTACCTTGTACTCGTCACTGTTCTCGTCATATTATGTTAAATGGAGATCAACTTTTATTTGAACATTGCACTGCCAAATTTAGTGATAACACACAATGCTGTATTCCTGTGTTTGATGTAGCACATGAATTACCTCTTTGTCCAGAACATGCAAGAAAAAGGGATAATTATCATCGTAAAGCCCAAGAGTCTAAACCAAAGAAAGCTCGTAAGAAACCAACATCTCCCACAATTCCCAGGCCTAAACCAAAATCCAGGCCGAAGAAACGAAAGCGGCCTCCTGCAAATAAACTTGAGATTAAAGATCCTACTCTAGTACACGAAGAAAGTCAATATTTGAATCAAATAAACTCTAGTGAAAATCAGACAAAAACTTTGAATAATTTGAATACTGCAGCACAGGGAAGTTCAAATTCTGCTAACTTAAATTTAGGATTAGGACTTGGTCTTGGAGGAGGACTTAAAGATCTGGGAGATCATGAAGTGTTTCCTTCTTTGGATTCTGCAGAGCATGATTTTGGCAATGTGCTCAACAACTTACCTGCTGATGCTTTTAATGACTTATTTATTGGTAAGTATAATAATGTCATTTTTTTATTAATATTAATTTATATAAATGTAATATATTTTTATAAATAACTTTTCTAAGTAAGAATTGTTATTTTGTTTCCAGAAGGCAGAAATGGAGAATATGAACCATCAAGAGAAGAAGAAGAAGAATTGGAACGAGCACTAGAGGCAGTAGATAAGGATGTACGAAATTTGGAGAGAATGGGGCAAACACATGGACTTTTAGAGCCAGCTTTATTGGCTCAACTTATGTCAGACATTGCTTCGTAGCCCCGCCTATTTTAATAATATAATAATTTGAAAACGAGTTCACGTGTGTTCCTTACGATATAGAAAAAAAATACTGTTTGTGTCTGTGCTGCTAAATGTAAGATTGTGTTATTAACTTTCGTTACATAACTATAAAAATCCAAGATAATGGCAGGGATTGATATACAGAAAGTAACAAGAAATAGTAATTATAATTAATTTAATATAAATTTCATTGGGTACACTTATATCATATAGCTAGATCCACAAAAGATTATATTTCTTATAAATGCTGAAAATTCCATCCTTGCTAAAAAGTAATCGTGAAAAAGTCGTAATCTCATCTTGTTTTATATATTTGCAAATTATTTTGAATATAACTTAAAAGTTCAGTTATAGTGTTATAATTAATGATACAGCAATAAATACTTTTTACTTATGAAAGATATAAAAGTCAAAACAAAACAAACTAATTCTTAAAAGTCAAAACATGAAAACACTCCTATAAACTAATTCTTAATCTTCCAAGGCTTAAAGATTCATTTTTATTTATTACTTTAGTTATAACACAAAACTTAATTTATCTAAACACATCTATTAATACACTATTTTCATCATTAATGAATTTTTCTGTTTTTAAATATCCTGATAGCTGCAAATAATATTCATAAATATTTTGTAAAGATATGATTTTACATAATTTCTCTGATTTGTATAAAATTTCTGACATTTTAAACAGAATTAAAATCTTTTATTAAAAATCAATACATTACTTAGTTCATTATACATTTTGATGAAAATGTAGTTAGGTTTTGTTTGAATCAGACATTAGAAGTGTTTTAATAAATTATTTTCTATTAAGAAACTTCATTTATAAAATACAATTGCATGAACACATGACTGAACTTAAAAAAAAACTAGATATACATATAAATAGTCATTCATTTTTATCATCTACCTGCTGTAATAATTATATGCAAATAATCTTACTCACATACGCATAATCATCACTATCATTTTCTTCATTTTGTATTATAATCATGTAGACAAATGTTCAGTAATAGATAGCTGTAACATATAATTAAAGATTCAACTTAATAAGAAGTGCCGAAATAGTTTCATTTTTGATATTTTTAGTAATTGTAATATGATTCAATTTCTTTTGCAGCCTATAAAAAAAGATGACACGCGATATATTATTTTATTATTCAAAATAAAACTATAAAAAATTCAAATCTAAAAAAATCTAACGAGGCACAGATTTTGAGAGTAAAACTAGATTATTCTAGTTAATTATAAGAATAACTAAATCATTTACTGCCATTTAATATTTAAATGATTACAATATTGCTATAGCTAGAAAATACATGTAACATTTTCAAATGTATGCAATATATTTCAAATTTTATCATAATTTTAATACATATCGCAATTGAAATTAAAGAAAAAAACTATGTTGAATCACTTTGTAGATTATAAATAAATGTCATTAGAGTAAAGCAACAAAAAACAATTTACATGTAACACCAGAATTGTACGGGTTTTGTGAGATCTAGTTTTTATTGTCAAAGTTTCTGTGCCAAATATACTTGTTAAGATATTAATTTTTGTACCTTATATATGCGTGTCATTAATCATAAATAATAGGTCGCAAGGAAGTATATCTTAAATAATAAATGTTTTAACTAAATGTAAACAGACAGTAAATTTGTCACTTGTAAATGGAAAAAAACAATATAATTTACAATTTAACCCATATTGGGATTAAATTAATGTCATATATATTGTTATTATATATAATGGTAGTAAGTAGGTACAGTAATTATTTATATAAGGACAATGCAAAATTTAATCATGAAAGAAATGCATTGCTTCAAATGTACCTATACATGTATCTCCTTGTAAAATATCAGCATTAGTGCGCATTATTAGGCATTACCAATTATAAGCATATTTTTTACATTGTCTTATTGTACTCAGTTTATCCACCCTTATCACATATCCTACAAGCGTTATTTTTGATTATATGTGTCTGTATTTAATGATATTTTATGTGATAAACAAAATTATCAGTATTTTCATTTACAATTTTTTTTCAATATGCGTTATAAATAATTTAAAGTAATTTTTCTTATTTTGTATTAGTTATTAACAATCCTTTTTTATGTAACTAAAAATATTATAATTTGCATATTCATCATTACTCAATATTACATAGTAATATTAAATATAAAACAATTAAATTACTGTTTGAAATAAATCTCTTAGAAAATCAAATATAGACACATATTTTCAATTATTTAATTGTTACTAGTTCGCATTAACATTAAGTAATTACATGAAAAATAAAATAGTTTTGAAATAGCAATCAACATTGATTTGTGTTTAATTTATTTTATTTCAGTTTAACAAACATCCAATAAAAATTTTTTGTTTATTATAAACAGAAAATGTTTGTTATATTTGTTTTAATTACTTCTTGTATATTTTATAATAATTATTCTGCAAATAATCATATACTTATTTCAGAAAATAAAAGTTCCCAAATTTTATTTATTTAAAAACACCAGTTAATACCAAATAAAGTCACCAGAAATAAAAATTTGTAAAATTTATATCTAATTATATGATAGCATTGTAAGTTATATTGAATGATATATAATCATTCTATCAAACAAAAAAATGTTCGGTAAGTGTTATTTCTATTATTATTAACACTTTTATTGAAATTATTATTATTTTCTCAAATTTTAGTTAAAAATAAAAGTTTAGAAAAAATTAAGTCCAATTGAAAGAAAATAAAGTTATTTCACATTACAATAATTTATATTGTAAATATAAATATGCTTATAATTCTTAGTTTATTTTTAAGAAAATAATTAATCTATTGTTGCTATTGAATATGTATCTATCTCTTTATGTGCCTGGCGTTTTATTTCTCTAATCAGCCATTTTTTTCTTGCTTTTTCACGAGGAATTTTGTATCCTTTTGGTGAAATATTAATTATCTTCATTGAAAAATCTTGTGTTAAATCAGGTTCAGTTTCAAAGGATGGAAATCTTTGAATTTTTATAGATATTTGCTATAATATCAAATACAAAAATATTTGACATTAATATTTTGTAATAAATGCGTGCATTTAAAACATATTTTTAAAAACTCACTGTATCTTGTATTGTATCTTTAATATTTTTTATTCTTCCATGTTTTCTTTTATCAGATAATTGAATTTTGTCTTGTTTTTCATCTTTTTCTTCCAAAGGCATTAATAAGATATCATAATTAGTTCTATTTTCTCCTAAAATTCCAACTTTTATTCCTAATTCATGTAATTTATCTTCTTCAATAACAAGTGCATATTGTAAATAAAGAATGCGTTTGTCATTTAAATTGTCTTCTATTCCTATAAGTCATAATATATTATTCTTTCTATTTTTGTAAGAAAAGAAATATATAAAACACACCTAAAGATAGAAGACGATAATCAGAATCTGAATATATCAACTCTTGTATTAAGGGTGAATTTCTTAGTAATTTTCTTTTTTCTTGTATTTTGTGACCTTGCAATACTTGAATGTCATCAGGCAACATATCTTGAATTGTATGAGAAATATTTCGCTTTTCTGCTATATTATATGTTTCAGTTCTAAATAATCTATGCAATTCAATTTCTACAACAAATATCCTACCTTTTTGTCTGAATATAATTTTTCATTTATTTTTTATAAATGATTTATACTTTTTACTCACCAATTAAACTGAAATATTTGCGTTCTAAAGCTATCCAAACAATACGGTGCGTCATACAAATTAATACCTCATATATTCTCAAATCTTTTTCTCCTTGTGATTGTGTTAAAGATGGAACTCCTTTTTTTCCACTAGTCATATGATGATATTGAATAATATCTTGACAACCTACTATTAAATCAGCATATTCTCTACCTAAAACACAACGAAGATTTTGCATTTCTTCTGCATATCTAAATCTATAGCCCTGAGCTAAGGGATTTGGTGCCTTTTTCATAGTAGCTGCACGTTCTTTCATTAACTCTTCCCATGTTATTATATAATATTGAAAATAAAGAATTGCTGCTCTCAAAAAACGATCCACAACTGGTAAATGAAAGAAATTCACAAATTGAGGACTTATGGGAGTGATTAATAAGAACATCACGAGATCTTTTATATCTTGCAAAATAATAACATCCGGTTCGTTTGGAGATACTTTCCTTAAATAATATTTCCTAAATCTAAGCTGAAAAAACATGTGTTTGTGTAATAAAGAAATAATAGACAGTATTTTAATTAAATCTTTTTCCTTTTCATTATATACCTTATCACGTTGACTTAAAGTTTCATAGAAATTTAAAATCAAGTATGAGTGTGGACAATATACTTTTGATTGATGATCAAGATTAGACTGCAGTTTAATTTTTTTAATATGCTCATCTTCAGTCTTTTGTGTACTAATATTCAAACATGAAAAAGATATTAATTCAATTACATTCGTATTTTATTTATAAACAAATTATAATTTGTAATTTATATAAAAATATGAAGTATTTGAATTTTTAGATGTTTCATTACTCTAATAAAATTAATCCATTAGAAATTTCATCCCATCCAAAATATTTGTCTTCCATTTTAAAATAGCAAAGTAATTAACTATGATACTATAGTAATGATGGAATTAGTAAGAAGTCAGGTTAACTAGTAAATGAAAAGTAAAAAACAAATTCTTATTCAATGATACATAAATTAATTATTGATTATATATTTATATCATGTATATTTTACAAATATAGATATTCACAAATATCAATTTACAACAAAAAAAATAATTTTACAACGAAGAAAATAATTTTACATGGATGTATTTTGAAGGAAATAATTATTATTTTAATTATTTATTTTATTATTTAATTGTGCAAAACTTAAAATATACATATATATACATAATTAAATACAGGAAGAAAAAAATAATTAATTTCGTCAAATGAATATTTTATTTACCAAAATATAATTATT